TATTTCACGCGAAATGGTACTATCATTTCTCCCAAGCAACGCGAGTCGCTGAGGATCATGGGTGCTTGATTAGGCGTCGAGATGAACCACTTCCTTCCTCAATCCAATTCTTGCAGCTTCGAGCCTACATCCGAGTCCCCTCCGAACTCAACGAAATCTCCAAGAATCAGATTTGGACTCCGCCTGAATTCTAAGTCATGCGCTCCCAATCCAATTGACCGGAATACGCAGAGCCGCATTCGATCTATCCTCGGCCGCTTCATGGGGATACACAGAGAATTTCGGAGGTTGAGCCCACCGAGAGATTATCTCGATTTACCTAATTACTCCATCGGGATCGGTCCAGATATCAGTGTGAGACCCGGAGATCCCGCGGCAGCCTCAAAGCTAGAGATACAGATCTCATTCCTGCTTACGATTCCCCTCATTTATTTTCGCGTTCTGTCTTTCGCTCCAGTCACACCTCTCCGTTCTCTCCTCTGCGATCAGTTTTGCGGTTTTAAGTCTGATTGTATCCTCGATTCCGAGAGGGACCCTGCCGACTCATTCAATCCCTGACGTAGATAAACGGGATTCGTCCCCGAAACGCAGATTCTGTAGAGATTTTCCAAACCTATTCAGGTAGGAGGGCGGTCGGGCTCGCGGCCGAGTCCGCCTCAGGAAAGGCGGTCCGGGTGTCTCAGTCTTCGTCCGTGTTCACCCATGTACCGATGCTGGCTTGCGCGCTCGGCGCGACCGTTATTCAGTGGAGCGAGCTCATCCATACGGTCGTTCCGTATGCGTGCCGTTTCTTTTTCTCGTTCCTTATTGTTGTCTCAGCTCACTTCAGAAACAATCCGTTTAGTCAGCTATTTATCTAGCTGCTTGTTCTGGATAGAAAGAAACAGCTCGTGTAGCTGTCTGGTCTCCTTTAGTCGGAACCGTACGTTTTTTCTTTCTTTTTATTGTCCTTCCGTGCCGCCGTATATTCGGCACCCGTAGTCGGGCCGAGAGGGACTTTCCATTTGCTGAACGACGACGACAGGATACAAGAGACGAGAGCCGCTGAGACGGGCAAAACATCAGAATCATCGTGATATGTCCTCCCGGAGCTCCTAAATAACGGAAAAAGAATGGCCTCACTTCTGATGGACGCGGACCGGCAGCAGCTGTAGTCTTCATCGGGAAGCGGAGAATTCGAGCTTGCATTGCATTTCATGATACTGAGGGGATTCCAAACACCTATCGCTAAGGAAGATCGGATCTACACGGATGAGACTGCCGGAGCCAAGCTCCAGCACGGGGAATAACTTCCGCATGCCAGCAGAGTTCCATAGAAATCTCTGATTAGAATTTCATCATCTTCAGAATACAAGTTTCGACAAGCGTCCCTATCGCAGAATCTACGGGAACGTGACCCACACGTACAGCGCTGACCTTGGTGAACTCATGACATTACCGCTAGCGATCCGACGACATCGCTGCCAAAATTGCAAACTCCTCATAATGAAAGTATATTCGAGTCTCCATGTTGAGCAGAGCGTCATCTATCATTCATGATTCGAATCTTCGGCCCACGTCGATGAAACAGCAAAAGCACACAATATCGATGGGGGCGACTCGAACTCGTTCCGCTCCTCGAACGCTCTTCTGTAAACCCCGAACGAACTGCCCCATATTCCTGGAGTTTTTTTTAATAGATCGCATCGTGATTCGGGATTAACATACCTTAATACAGTAAATGCTTGATTCGGTAAAGATCGTAGTCGTGAACCGCTCGATTTACTAACCACTTTCCTGGGTCACGACCGTCCACTATGGGAGCACAATGTCGAAGGCTCTCGATTTAGTGGACATCATGGTTTTGTAAACAAATTCATGACGTCTCGCTCCATAGGCGTAATGTTTTCGCAAGGTAAAACGGAGAGTCCAGTTTGGGAACCATGTGGCATCATGTCGCGTGACCAAGGGCAGGTTCGAGCGAAGAATCTCGCTCCGTGTTCACATCACTATTAAAAAGTCTAATATTCATCACTATTGAAGAAAAACTATTATTATCGGAAGAAAAATGCGATTTGAAGATGAATTGAGTCAAGCACTCAAGCAGTTCATGAGAAATGATGCCCGGTACCTTTTGCGAAGGAAAAGGTACCGGGAATTCTCATCGGAAATTTCATCTCTCGATTCTGTAAACCGCTCGCAATAGTGATAGAATCCTCCGGTCCGCAGCGGGTTCACTAAATCGGGCACCGACTGTGAAAGATGAATGAAAAAATTAGAGAAGATATCTGATGATTGCAAGAGACGAAAACCTCGCGGTGGGCTCAATATCATACATGGAATCCCCTCTGCTCGTAAGGATGTTCCCCGGAGAGCCTCCACGTCGACTGGAGAACCCGGTGGAGCTCGACCGCTCAAAGCACCGCCGAAACCTGCCTCGGCCCCGAAACCGAATCGTTGACGACGGAGTCTCTTCTCCATGAATCGTTTCTGATTCCGGAGTCCACCTGTCTGACCGATTAGGATACGGGAGAGAAATGAAAGACACCGCACACGTCGTTTTGTATCGCTCGCTGAGCGATTTTGAATTGGCATCGTTTGCATCTCTTCGTGAGGTCCGCATCAAGCTGCTGCCACCGCCTGTCTATCTGCTATTCCTTCGAAACCTGCCTTTTGCTGGTACCCACTCCTTTCTTGGAGTCGCTATTTGCGAGCGTTCTCGACGAAGCAGCGCTGATGGTGCTTGTGACTGCATAGCACCATGCAGCTCGAGGAGAACGGGGAAAGAAAACAGGCCAAGAGCGAAAACGAACTGTTCATGTCTTCTTCCCTGTGAGTGTCCAAGAGCAATGTGAGCACGGGTGAGCAGGTATGTAGGAGGGTCGGTCTGTCGAATTCAGAGGGCCGCAGGGGCGGGGGGCGGGGCGGTGTTTATTTTTCCAAACCACTTCGGAAGATATTTGTTTCGCTGGCGGACGAGTCCGGGAGGCAGAGTTGAAGTGAGCGAACGAACGCATCTCCCGTTTGGCTCGTCGCAATCCGCCTCTTGGAAATGTCGCTTATGATACAGGGTTCGCTCGCTCGCTCGCTTTTCCATTTCCCTGGCATCCGGCGGTATCTCAATTTTCCCTCCAAGTCTCGCCACTTTTTCCCAAATACACCAAGTCTCGGGAATAAGATTCTTTAAAGTCGAACCATCGGTAGCATCACCGAGGCTCCAAATAAAATGGACGATCTCCTCCAGTAGGGGAAACCGCCAGAAAAGAAAATGCAGGTGCCCTGCCTGCTCAGTTCTGACCGAAGGAGGGAACACGTCGGACTGCGTCAGGGGTTTTTGATCATCGATTCGTAGGAAAGTCGGGCAGTGGACCCGTTGGTGCGCGCGAATTGAGGGTGATTTATTTGGACTTCGTGTAATCATACCTAGTGATATTTTTGTCGCCATCATTAGTCATAATGCTTGGTCCTTCACTGAGGGACTCAATTTGACGACAGAAGACATCGGCCAGTATCAGATATAGAATCCTTGTTTCTGTCCCTGTTTGTGTTGGCCCCTATCCGGAATATCGCTGTTGGGCCCACGTCGTAATCGTCAAGCTGGGATTCGCTTTACAGCATAAGAATTCCGGGGAATTTCCTCGAATCTTCGAGCCGAGACTCTCGCTGATCGTGTTTCCAAGCGTTCCTTTTTCATCAGTACACGGTCCCACTCCCAGCCGCGACACCCTCCAGCGCCATGACGGGAGCTCGAGGGTCTTAAGACAATTAACCGAAGCTTATCGACACAGTTTCGAACTAAGTCTCTGTGCGAAGAGCGCTTATTCCTCTTCATTAATCGGACTGGACTCGACGCAAATGGGATATATTGCGTCGGACCCCGCTCATCCGCGAGCAGGGCGGTCGGAGACGCGGCATGCCGCAACGCTCCACGTTTTCCCTGGGACGAGGGAGTCAACAAACTCGGTGACCGTGGCATGCAGATCGCGATCTCTCGATTCCACCAGGAGCGAGACATATTCTCCCGGGATCTCGACACGCAGCATGAGGCGCAAGCAGTGTCGTAGGAATGCAAGACAAACACGAGGAGACTATGGGATACATAGCGTGATTATCTGTTGTTCGAAAGTGAAGCAGATAACGACGGTCGACACGGGCCGGCATCGACAGCTTTCCTTTTGATGGGCGGACGTGAGCTCTCGCAGTGGCTCGCTGACCCGTCTTTTGGCTCCGTACACTCGCCTCATCGGCCTGTGTCGCCACTCATCAATAAGGCTCCTGACGATATAACGTGTTATTTGGAATAGACTTCTCTCTCGCAGCCAACAACTCACTCATCCCCGAAAAAGGAGGAGGATTCGCTGCCGCGGGAGCCGAAGGGATTCGGACCCACCTCGCAGAGGACGCTTAATTATTTCTCTAAAGTCGGAAGCCTTTGCTATCGAGGAGGAGCAACATGTCTTCGATCCCACCGAACGCGTCGATCGTTGATCCCGCAATAGAGATGAACCACGAAAAGCGATGTACGTCTAGGAATTCGAAGGAGGAGGGTATCGGGTTTCGTCGGGCACCGCTGGTGGCATTGGGGTGGAGAGGGACGACCGACCGCCGTTTCCTTACCCTCGCCGCTCCGGAGGCGTATGCTCGTAGCCTGTCGACTCTACTCTCACAATGAACGGACGGCGCCGATTGCCCTCCTGAACAGCTTCCTCTTCCCGTGGAGTTTTTATGGCGATTCGCTTATGCACATTGTCCGCTGACATCATCGTTGCCGACGATCTTCACCTTGATTCGATCGTCCGGGGCCAGACGATGACACGGTCAGTTGTGCAGCCGTGAGAGTTCCGTGAATCCGTCGACTGGTGTCGTCGTCGTCGTCACCTTCGTATAGTGTTCAGGTGTCCGTGTTGGAAATCGACGGCGGCGGCGGTGGTTTCACCTCATCTGCCAACGTCACGCAACCACGGATAATGTTACCCTTGAATTTCTTATTCGGAGTGCTCTGTTGCTTCGGCGGTTCACTGGTCGCCAGCAGGCTGAGTTCAAGAACAGTGACCACGCGCTACGGTGCTCTCAAAGGAAACATAGTGACGCTGGAACAGGCGTCGCGACCCGGTCTGCAGCCCGTCGAAGTTTTTTTGGGGGTTCCTTACGCGTCTCCGCCGACCGGCAACATGCGATTCATGCCACCGGGAACGCCGACGCAATGGAAAGGAATTCGTATGGCGGACCGCTTTGCGCCAGTTTGTCCACAAAGGCCACCGGACATCCATAACGAGACCGAGGCTCTGAGGAGAATGCCTCGCGGTCGTCTGGAGTACCTGCAGCGCCTTTTACCATTTCTTCACAAACAGAGCGAGGATTGTCTCTACTTGAATATTTATTCTCCAGCCATCGGTAAGTACATACCTAAGCCATGCAGAATCAGGGAGTTGGATCGGGAACGCGCGAGGTCATTCTCCGTTTTTCTGAAACGTCGACAACGACAGTCCAAGCGTTCGATTAGAGCTACCAGAACGCTGAAGGGGATCGAAGCGTGATCGGGTTCATCGCGGGAAGTATCGAGGAAAAAGTCGAAGACCTCCTCTTACGCTCTCGAAAATCACCTGTGCGGCGCCGTATACTTTCGTGGAAGATTGTTGGGTATTCACCCGTGCGCCCGCCCCGTCTGCAGCAGTGTATTGGCACTGGATGCGAGTGTAAGTGACTTGGAATAAACACGCGATTCCCTTCTCTTTATGACTGTTTACGAATTCAGGACAGCATTCGACTCGGATGCCGAGCCGCGGGCGCACGCGCTCGCCACGTCCTTCCCTAAGGTATTCCCGGCCCTCCCCGCCCCTTTGCTACCTGACTGACTTCGCTTGCATATTCTGTGCGCTGCCTAGTCAAGAAGAGCCGGTTGCGATGTTTTTTACTTCATCGCCCCCCATTCGGTTGGCCGTCGATCGAGGGTGGCGCGAAACGAAGCAGCAAATCACGAAGGAGATTCGGGCTCGCAAGGATTTTTCCCCATTCCAATTCTTCCTGCTCGATCCAGATTTGAATTCGATGCTGATTGCTGATTGTTAGACGAGGGGGAGGGATGATCTCGTCTAAAAAATACCGACGCGGGCTCGCACCATCGATTCAGTGGGCGCCATCTATTGCGCGCAGGCTTGTCCCGAATATCTAAGAGTTTTTGATGGAAACATAGTGACCCTGAATCTACGTCCGACCGATTCCCCGCTCCCCTTCCACACACGAGAGCCACTCGTCGCAATCAAACGATGCCGGGCAAATACCCAGCACCATGGAGTGTGCTCGTAGTAATTGGTCGAGACTCACGCGATGGATCCGGAGCGGCGGGAGAACCAGAATCTCGCGCGTGAGGAACGCTCAAATCCCCTCCTCCTTCCCGTGTGGACAAAGCTCAGTGAACTCGAGCTGCTCGGAATAATTTATTGCAATTTTCCCGAATGAGATGCAGACGTACATATTATATAATTTCGGATGCGTTACGGAACGCGCTAATGAAATCACAGATTGGCGTGGCGGATGCAGCGCTCCCGTAGGACTGGTAGCAGACTCCGTCGTCGCTCCCTGTGGGAAATCTTCACCACTGATCCATGTAGGATGCACAAGTTTCGCATGTATTTGTACGAGCTCGGGAAGAGGAAACCTCTCCGCTTGCGTGTTTGCGTGTCCATCCGTCAGCAAGCCAGTCAGCTCGGTGGATATGGCAAGGATTTCCTTCCACGCACCCGTCTGTCTTGACGTTGATGTTCAAATCTTGTTGCTCTGGAAGTTGATAATTCCGACGCCGCGCCCGGGAGAGCAGTATGGCTCGCGCGTAATCCACGGGGCTCAACTTTGAAAAATTGTAGCGCTTCCTTTGAAGACGCGGATTGCTTTCGGCATGGAACGAGTTACTTGATGAAGGCATCAACCGTAGAAAAGCAAAGCTCCACTCGCTGCCTGCTCAGCTCTCCCATGTGGATCATTTCCCGTAGCTTCCACGGCTTCGGAGGGAGCTATACGTACAAAATACCCCCAAATGCGACATTTGCTACGATTCTACAAGAAATGTGTTTGTTTCATTCCCCGTCGATGTACCCAATGTATAGATGAGCCCCGAGGTGCCGCGATCCCAAATGCTCCTGCGTCGTTTCGCTTCGGATGTGCCTTCCTTCGCGCCGCCGTCCAGGATCCTGCAGCTGCTCAGGAGACGCAACTTGGGTCCACCTGGTTCTCCCTCGCGATCTTACCTTCAGTGTTCGAGCCTGAATCGGAAATTCGTTCCACCGAGCAGCCATGGTTTTCAGGATATGCTTCCGGAATAGCCCGGGAACGGCAGAGTTCTTTCTCGCTGGACTCTCAGAAGGGAGCTCCCCACCGAGAATAGATCGGTCGATCCAGATGATCAGTATATATTTGGAAACCAGTCAGGTGACACTCGCCGGTGGAGACAGGATTCGAGCTCGGCACATTTCGCCATCTTCCCGGAGATACTTCCATCATCAGCGTCAACGAATATTCAAAGAATTCTCCGAAGACTCACACAGCGATTGAGGGGGCTTTTCGTCGCCCATGGACTGATTCGAATCATGTCCGGAGAGCCCGCGCTGTTCTGTGAGCAGTTTGGTTATAATCGGATTGAACGTTCCCAATCCCACTCGCTGAATTGTCTAATGTTCTTCCCAGACTAATTAGTTCCGTACGTAGCAGTTTTCCACTTCCTCTCTCTCTCGTCCTCGCCAGGGGTGATTCGCTATCAGTGAGCAAACAGAACTCAGCGGTCGATTTCCAGTCTTGTCACGTGATCAAGTACGCCGAGATTTTCCGAGAGCGCGACAAAATTCGATCTATACCGTCTCTTGATAACTCGACGACGAATCGTCGAGAGAGCCGCGGCCGATTCTTCAGTCTCATGGCAGAGTTTGAAGTTTTAATTGTTCGACCGCCGCGAGAATCGTTTCAACATCCGGGCGTCTCACTCGGGAAATCAGGACCGGGAAAGCGGATCTGCTGTGCTAAACTGTCAAAGTTTCTGATATGAACCTCTCTGAGTTGTCCTTCTCTCGACTTACTCCTCGTCTCGGCTAATATTCGAGTGAACAACGGAATCTCCAGGCTTTAAAGTCCGCTGTCGGCCTTCAGCAAGTGGAGAATATCGTGTTGGAGCGAACATCCCGAAAATGCCGTGGGGCGCAACCTCTAAGCCATTCCTCGTGGGCTTTCAGGGAGCTAGTTGTCGCTGTGGCGTCCTCGTTCGGCGGAACAAAAACGAACCGTGGTATATTTCGCAAGATTCCGCGCTCCGGCTCGCTGGAAGGGAGGAACTGGATCGAGCAAACCTCTCTCTTTCTCGAACCCAACCTGAAATGAAACTGAGGAATGAAAGTCTTTGTTGTCGTTGGGCTGCTGTTCCGCGGCGGCGGTACTTCGTTTTGTGTCGCAAAGTGAAAACGAAACAGTGTCTTTTCGATCATGACGCCGACGACGCCTAGGGGAGAAGAGGATTCACTTTCCCGGGAAAGTTTTCAAAACTTTACGGCTCAACAGAGGGAGAAGTTGAATTTGAATTCTTTTTCATCGGAGCCTCTGCTGAGGGGGGGACGATGGGAACCGCAGAGCGCCATGCCCTGAGAATGCTATTCCTGTTCGTCACAACAATAATAATCGGATTTCAGGTCCTCGAGGAGGGATTACGAACCTCTGGGGTCGAGAGTCAGGCTCTCCACGGAATCCGGCCTGGTTCGAGGGGTATTCACGCGTTCTTACAGAGGTGTCAGTTCTTGCAAGTCCTCCAATTCGATTGGTCCGCTGTTTGTGAGTTGTCCTCAGTTCGTTTGTACAGTTCCCGTCCCAATCCTTGCCGTAACAAGAGAAGCGGGACAAAGTGGCCGTCAGCAGAGCAAGGTGCAAAAAGCCGCTCGCACGCAGAAACGCTACACCGTTGGTCGTTGCTCGGGCCCAAACGACTCGACAGCAAGTTGACAGCTCAGCAACGAGCCGTGACAGAATAGCTACTAGCTCGTTGTATTGAGTTTGTGAAGAGTGCGATCAAGCGGAATATTCTTCTCCTGGAAGATGACTGAGCGACTGCTTTTTCTCTGTCGGGCACTCCGTCAGGGAGCGTCGCCCCCGGTGACGCTACGCCTCTTCTGGATGCGCGAGCTACGATTCACGCGAAAAACCTTTTAACACCGCTCCTGAAACTCATTGTGCCCACGAGTCGAGGAAACCTCAAGCAAAGCGGACTAGGTTCCGTGGGAGCTGCAGTCAGTCGCTCCTCTCCTAGAATGTTCGACGGGCTGTCCTGAACTGCGGGATGAACAGATCGACTCCCAACGGGAGTACGTCGCACTCTATGTAGGTCGCGGAAGGTTCGAGTGAATTCCGACCGTCGGACGATTCGGTCGACGCAAAACAGCCTTCTAGTGGCTGAGCTTTCGTTCTGATGATAAGTCCCGAAATTTTTTCCGATCCCGTCGCTTAACGATCGGAGCGCGAAGCGGTTATTTCGGTCGCACTGTCGGCTCCTCCTTGCGCCCGTGAGACATTCGCTGTCTTTCTCGGACTTCATGCCATCCATCACAAATTTCCTGTTTTTGAGAGCGACGGAAATGCTCGAGTCGAGTTTTTCGCCCTGCTCCGGAGCGATCGTGTTAAGCCCCTACCACTGTAGCGCTTTTCTGTGCCCCGCTTGCATTCTATGCGAAATTCGGATCGAAATCCCTCCCAGACCTCGGCGGGGAATGGGATCGGATCAGTTCATGTGTCTCCTTCTCGTCCTCGATGTATGCCCCTCCCACGCTCGGATAGTCGGGGTTGCGCCTTTTGATGGCCCAAGTTCTCTTTACCGTGTGGTTCTCGACGAGCGAGTTTTTAAGGAAAAGGGGGAGGGGTGAGAGAGATATCGATGACTAAGAAGGTGGTGGCTACGAATCAACAACGTGGTATCTCGGGTCTCGCCGAAATCCCTAGCGTCGGTGTACTCTGACGGTGGAATCTTCGGCGCCTCTGCTTCCGCCTATCTGCTTCCTCGCCGCTCGTAGCGATCAATACGAGTTTGCGTCCGTTCATTCTCTGCAGTAAAGGATGCTTCTAGCAGCATCGAGTGGCGGCGGGGTTCGGCTCGTCCGAGTATAAAGTGCGTTTCCCTATTCGATATGCGCAGCTCTGTCCTTCTCTCTCTCTCTCCGCTGTCCCGGTGAAAAAGGAAAGACCATGGGAGCCGGAGACCGCGCAGAAAATCCCCCTCGTACAACGAGACATTCGATCATAACCGTGTCCTCGTCTCGCACTCCCTTGTCTGCTGTCAACTCACGACGACGGATTACCCTCGGATTCGGCTACTGACCCCCGCTCGCCTGTCGTAACATCCTAATGTTGCGAGTTCCCCGATCCTCGGATATCGTACGACTCGCTGGTAATTGAGCCGGAAAAGAGGATGCCGGGAAGGGCAGAGAAGATGGGGGGAACCCTCGTGGTGCGGGGAAACGCTAGACGCTCGTTAAGTTCCGGCGTCTTGGTCGGTTTCGTCTGCATCTTTCTGTCTGAGTGACTTTCATCTCACCGCAACCATTTTTCTCATTCCCTGAAGCTGGCTCGTGACATTCAGTGTGTTTGGCAGACAGCTTCCAACCCGTGTCGCCGTTCATTGGATGGATCGCTGCGGCACCGGCCGCGGAGAGTTCTCGGGAGGACGGGAAGGAGGCTTATGCGTCAGGCATGCCAGCAGCGAGGAGGGCGCAAGATTAGCATTTCTCTCACCCGTCATTAGCTCGCTTTGAAAAGGAGAATTGGTTTCGAGCCGCAACGTATGTACATCGCACTTTGATGCCGCGCGGACGCGTGCGAACGCTAGGCCTGTTTGATTGATGCGATTCCGGAGCGTTATTCCGCCGAGCCGCCAGCTGACTCCTCGTGCGGGAACACTTTGCGCACCGGGGAGCTTCGCCGGAAGCTGCCGTGAGTTGAGCGACGACGTGGAGGTTTCGTCGATTTTCTCTTCAGGGAAGGCGACGCCGCGCCGAAAGCGGGAGCTCAGTCAGATGGGAGCACGATGAGAAGCTCCCGATGGGTTTTGTCGATCGATGCTGTTGTGAATTGCGTGGCGCGGTCCGCCGATGGAGAAACACATGGAGTTATGTATGTCGAGCCCTCGAGTTAGCTGGCCTATTTGTGACGATACGACGAAGGACACTCGACGAAAATCTCCATAAAAACTTTTGACGACCGTCGGTCGATGTGAATGGAGCCCGCATTGAGGAGGTAATTAATTTAAGCTCTGTCGGATCTCTCCCACGAGATCTCCACTGCGAGCGCCGCTCACTTCTCTACACAGTGGGCCTGTTTCGGCGACGAGGAGGCTGGCGTAATGCTGGACAGCTGCCTTATTTATTCCTCAGACAGGGCGATCTCCTATGCCGGCCTCGACTATGGGAAGTTCACGACGTACTCGAGTCACTGGATTTAGCGTGATACGATCGTGTGATTCATCGAGAGCACCTTCGCATAGATAGGGGAGGGACCTTTAGCGAGGGCCATCCCTCTCATTCATTCGCTCTCAATTCTGGAGCTCCGTCCCAAGCTCAGAGAAGATGACGAGAATCTCAGTGATCGGCACTGTTCGTCATGACCACGAAATCGTTCAATGACGAGACGCTCGCGACGAAATCTTAATGTACTGTGGATTCGGATCCTCGCATCGATCTAGATCCTCTGAAGGTTCCGAAGCGGTTCGAGAGGGCCTCTCCTATCAAGAGTGCCAGTTCTTATTTTCTGCTGCACGTCATCACGAGGGGGAATCGGAATGTGTCAAAGTTTCGAATCTTTCACAGAAATACATATACGGCGGTGCGGCAAGCTGAATCCTATCAGGAGCGACGAACCCCTCCCGCGTCTAGGAGTTTACTAGCGCCCCATTCTCTGGTAGGCTCAGGGACCCCCGGGGAATCTGCCCTTGCGATGATAGACGGGAACGATATCGCAGGAGGGGAGGAAGAGGTCCGCTCCTTGCTTTGAAACATTCATTTACTCTTTGCCGCTCGAGGTCCGGAATTGAATGTTGTTCGCCCGACCCGACCGGAACGGGTCGATGCTGGAAACGATCCCGAGCCCGGAGGCAGGCTCGGGTAGAGCAGGGCTTCTGAGAGATTTTCTTCCACAACGGTTCACTCGATCAGACTCTAGTCCTAAGTTTTCTGCTCGAACGTTCAATTGACTCCGGGGTAGCTCGTTCCGGCCGACGTCCCATGTCCATCGTATCGAGCAGTACGTGGACTATATGCAAAATCAGGGAGAGATTAGGGAGAGCGGAGAGGATCTCCAGAGTCTGTAGGGAATACGTTCGCCGGTCGTCGGCGGAACGCCTCTCAAGGCTCTTTCACGAAACGTTTCGCACAAACCCAGTTAGTGGCACGGCGAGCGTATCGTGGAGCAAATTATATTCGGCACATATTCTGGTAGAGTTCAGGAGCCTTTCTGTGGCTCTGGGGTCATTTTGACCCCGCAGCTCGCCGCAGACTGGGCGCTCGGTCCCGGCAGCGGGCTGCGGCGCTCGGCTGACTTCACCCTCTCTAAATTGGAGAATGAAAATTCCAGGCCCTGGGTTGAGACTATTACTTTTTCTTATGCCTCCAAGCTCCAACAGGAACACTGTGGTTGGGAAAGTGTTACCGTTCTCTCGGAACGAAAGATCGCATTCACTTGCATCGACCCTGAGAGGGTTCGCAATGTTATCCAGCCGATCAGCTCGCCTCAACGTTTGTCGAGCGTTCGTCTTGACTGAATTTCGAAATCTTGCAGTGGGCCGTTCACCGATGCATCTACCCGTGATGGTGTTCATTCACGGAGAATCGTTTGAATGGAATTCGGGCAACTCGTTCGATGGGAGCATTCTAGCCAGCCATGGGAACGTCGTAGTTATAACACTCAACTACAGATTAGGAATATTCGGTGAGTGCAGAGCGATCGCTCGGTCGTTCGCCCATTTTCGCAATCGACCGACGCATCGCAATTCTTTCGGAAGTTTCGTGCATGGGGGAGATCTCTGCGTCTCCGATCGAGGTCGTCAACATTTTTCGTTCTCGACCGAGCTAAGGAATTATTGCTCAGTTAGTGGTTGCGTAGGGCATTGGTATCCCGGGCCAATGCTTTGGCATACATGAATTTATTTTTGTTCCTTCGATCGAGCGATTAGTGGAGCGTATTTTCCTTCGCTTGAGCCATCCGGGTACGGAGCTCCCCGAGATGGGAGTCGACGACTCGCCTCTCGCCTCGACGTCGTTTCGGGTTTTTGATTTGAAAATGATTTACGGATCGTTCGCAGGGTTTCTGCCTCCAATGGAAAACGGCCGCGGAGGGAACAATGGACTGCTGGACCTGGTCGCCGCGCTGCATTGGATTCAGGGCAACGTCGCAGAGTTCGGAGGAGACTCGAGGAATGTCACCATCTTTGGTCACGGACACGGCGCCGCCCTCGTTAATCTACTCATGCTGACGCCGATGGCAAGAGGTGGGATTGCATGACAGGAACATAATTCATCTACTACGGCAAGCAATGAGCTGGACACAAATTCTCAACAACATGTACATATGTGCTCCTTCCCCCACAGGTCTGTTCCAACGCGCTGTCCTGATGTCGGGATCCGCTCTTAGTCCGTGGGCGATTTCCCGAGACGCCCAGAAATTTACGAAGCGCATCGCTCAAGCTTTGGATTGTCCGACGGACGATTCGAGACTGCTCGTAGAGTGTTTGAAGACAAAGTGAGTGAAACGGTGCAACGCTTCTTTTCATCGTCACTCGCGGCGTTTCAGAGAAGATCGAGGCATCGGGGTTCTTTCGATTTTCTCTTCGGGGTCGAAGCCTCGACGAGAATTATTTCGCTCTCGCTGTGAGTTCTCTTTCGTCGCTCCTCTGTCGTGAATGCCGTAGCGCAGAAGCTCACATTGCGCTCAAAATTGAAAGGTCGGCTGTCGATAGTAGTGACTCGGAGCGTTTCAAGTGAGCCGACATTTGAAGACACACTCCAAAAACGAAAAGTCGGCGAGCGGAAAAGCGAGGGCGATTCGCCGATAAATTCAACATGAGCCGCTTCAAATCGATATTTGACGAAGTCTGTAGTAAGAAGGGACAGCAGCCACCCGGTCTACGTACCAACGAGCGAGCAAGCCAGCCAGCCAGCCAGCCCGCCCGACATCCAGCTAGCTCTTAAGTGTAGTAGTCGCAAGCTTGGCACTTACCCTGCTTCAAGTAGAGGTTAGCTCCCGAAAGATTGCTCATTTTTCCACTCTCACCTCGCGGAAGCGAAAAGTGTGTTTTGAGCACTCGAGCCTCTTCTTCCTCGCCGTCTCTTTTTCCTCTCTGCTTCAGCCGGTTCCCTACTCAGTCAGCCCCGGGCCAAATCGGCTCCGTCGACCCTCCCCATTTCAAACGTTCGAGACGCTTCTCCGCTGGCCTGCTTAAGCTCGAATGGCTCGAATCGCCGTCTAAAAGTAGTCGGGGGAGTTCCATTCAAGAATGGGAAATGCTCTCATGTCTGTTCACGTTCTTCGATAGGGCCGCGTCCGAGATCGTCGCCATAGAAATCCGTGCTCCTGAGTACCATTCGGCTTTCGGGCCTTGCGTGGACGGAATCGTGGTGGCACGGGAGCCTTCTTTACTCATGGAAGAACACGCGTCGGCGCAGTTCAAGTCGTATGACGTCATGTTCGGAATCACCAGTGTCGAAGTGAGTTTTCTCAGTGACTGAGATATGTTCCTATCAGAGCTCGGAGATCTAGGAGAACGGTGACCTGTCACGCCGAGACACGCTTCCCGAGCAACAGGTTCCAAGTCGTCGTAAAGGCCTATTTCTGACACGCCAACGTCGCCTGGCCACAACGCGAGCAACGTCTTATTAATGAGAATACGGAGCCGAAAGAGAAGTAAATGAGATGATCTATGAAGTGTCAGAGACAGACTGCAGAGGAAGACAATGTGGGAGCAGAAGCATAAACTTTTCACAGACGCCCCAATTGTTCAATATTTTGGCGTTTCAATCCCCGACTCCTATTCTCGAGCCTGTGCAGGAAAGTTCCGTCCCACGACGCCATTACTCCAAGTCCTGAGCCGTGCCCGGATACGTGTCCGAGAAGTTTCTGTATTCGGCCGTCTTGAGCCGCTCGCCGTGACAGAACTGAGGTACTCTGATCTCGGTTCTGACGAGCGCTGTCCCCCTCTCCTACAGGAATATTTTTTCATCGCCGCTTCCGAAGAGAAGTACGGGATCGAAATCGACCGTCGCGACCGTATCTTGCGAACCTTGGTGCGGAATTTGTTCAGTTATCACCAACAAGAAATCCTCTTGACCATCGTCAACGAATACACGGACTGGACAAGACCTTTTCAGCATCCTCTGACCACACTGGATGGTGAGCTGCTGCTGCTGCTGCTGTTCGTTCTTCTAGAGGATCATATCATATTTTACGTTTAGTCAATCTGGTTTCAATGCAGGTACGGCCGAGATCTTGGGAGATGCAATGATCGTTGCGCCTCTGATGCGAGCCGCGAATACACACGCCAAAATGTCCAAGAACTCGTTCGTGTACCTGTTCGGCTACATGACGGAACACGGTGACTATCCGAATCGCGTTGGCGCCGTTCACGGAGAGGACCTCGCCTACCTTTTCGGAGCACCGTTGATGCCTCTTACGGGCCACTTCAAGAGCAACTTCAGCAAAAACGAGCAAGCACTCTCTGAGGCGTTTATCACCTACTGGAGTAACTTCGCACGAGCTGGGTGAGTTGGCAGCAACAACAACAACAACGATAATTAAGCCCATCATGCGTCTCCCTGTCAGCGAGCGAGCGAGTGAAGGCGAAGCATCCCCTTGTCTGCCGGTCGCATCTCGAGACGGGGTATCTCGGAGAGAGGGCGGCAGGGAGGGAACTTTCAATTGTTGAGTCTAGAAGTCCATTACATGTAAAAGAAAAGACGCCCGGCTCGGAGAATTTCCTCTCTCCCGAGCTGTTTATGAAGTTCGCGAAAGCCTGCTCCGTCTTGCAACTTGTTCATTCACTGAGCTCTGAACGAGCAAGCGACCGCTTCTGCGAAACGCCCTGTGATTTAGATCCGGAGACGGGACGAGCGGGCCTCGCGGAACGTCGGGCAATATCTGACGGTGTGCAGAACAGGAAAGGACGAGTGCAGATGGTACGGGCCTTTTCTGCTTCTGTTCTACAAGCAGTGCTTGTACATATTTTCGGGGAGTTAGTTATTCGACGTTCAAGTTGTTTCCTGACTGACATATGGAACTTGGCTCTGTACGGTGTAAAGCAAGCCCCGCAGATAGCTTGTACATCGCACGCAGAGGGAAGCTGCCGCTCACACAATGAACAGGAAGTGGAGATGGGCCGGTCCATACGTTGCTCAGCTGATAGCTATAACCGACTGAGCGACGACACACAAACGAGCGAACGGATGAACAAGCGAGCCGACTAGTGCCAAGCGGTCGACCTTTGCGGAAATCATCCGGTGACGAGATACCGCTCGTAGGTACATCGGTCGGTCAGGCAGAGTTTGCGTGTACGGAATGAATTTCGACGAGTCGCTACGACAACGCTCTCACCGGGGAAGCGATAGCTACGAACGGCCATGGGTTGCCGCACACAACGTACGATGATCGATGGTTGGTGACATGCAGATTGTTGCAGGGACCCGAGTATTGCCGCCTCAGCTCAGGAGAGCTCCGGCAGTGACGCTAGCGGAGATCGTCAAAAAGGACGTTTTGACAAGATCGCTTGGCCCGCGTACGATCTGACGCATCAAAAGTACATGTACCTCGGGATGAAACCGAAAGTGAAGGATCACTATCACGCTCACAGACTTTCGCTGTGGAATCATCTGATTCCTCTACTCCACAGGTGGGCAAAATGCGCGATGCCGACAGCGAACTCCCGCGAGTTGTCATCCACTAGTGCACGGGATAGATTGAGTGTAGACTTATTATCCAGTTCGCTAGCAGGGACAAACACGCTGTACATACATATATGTACAGGCGGACTTATTTGTACGCAATCCACGAAACCCATGTATCATTGTAGGCCGGGCGGAAATGACGTGAGTCCTCGGCACCATTTGTTAGACGGTCATGACAACCCGCATTCATTTGACGGTGAGGTCCTCAAGGATCCCCGCGTGCTGGAACTTCCGGGCCGATCCTCAACTCAGAGCGAAGGTGTACACAGCATGGAGGAGAACAAGGTGAGTAAGGAGACACGTCACTTATCCTACTGACGGGAATGCTGCCGGACTCTTGCCCTTTCCGGAATCTGAGTCCTGCGGCACGAGTCAGAGACCGGGGCAGCGTAGGGGAACGACAGTGTAGGCAGGCGAGGGTCTTCCGAACGATCGAATGTGTATCCTCTCTAACGACTCAATGCTCTCCAATCAGTTGCCGATGGAGGGTTCGGTGGCGGCATCGGTTCCTGAAAACGCGGCCGCCTCCGTTTCCAATAACGCCAGCAACGGAAACGCTCCACCGGTGGTTTCTCTCGAAACCCTATTCCTTCAATATGGAGGTTACTCTACCGCACTCAGCGTCACGGTCGCTGTTGGTTGTTCACTCCTCGTGCTCAATTTGCTAATATTTTGTGGTGTATACTATCAGAGGGACCGTGTCAAAGAGGAGAAGAAATCCAAGGTGAGCCGAACTCCTTCCGGGGGGGAAACGCGTCCACAAATCGTCAAAACGTCTTGGGAGGATCGTCATGGACTCCGGAGGAATAATCCATTTGCTGCTCCGATCTCTTACAGCCAAAGAAGCAACGCCGAAGCAAAGAAGGAGTTCAGTCGGCGTCGAGCCGGTGTAGCCTAAACTCCCAAAGTAACTATAGTCTGAGTAAAGAGCAGCAAGAGATGATTGTGACGGCGAGTATTCTCCGAAACCCTCCGCCCTCATCTCCCCGGCGGACGCAACAGGATCATTCGGGGAGCCAACAACATGCGACGACCAACCATCATATCACGTCGCATGGGATTATGAAGCAAGCAGTACCTCCGCAGGTGAGATTAGACGTCCCGTACATCTCTCCTAGGTTGGCGAAAGTTCCTGCTTGAGAAGACACTTACTTAGCTTCCGTAGTTCGTGCACCGGTTTGTACCATGCAAAAGTCAGCCGTAGTGCTGACGACGCGTCGTAGCTCGTGTCGTAGTAATTCTGCATGGCTGACCCAAATTAAATTCGAGAGACTGTGAGACCAAAACTCGAATGGATAGCAATTCCGCAAACCTCCGTCGACGTTCACCGTCAAATCCATTCGTCTCGCCGTCCCCCGCGATGAACCTCCCGCATCCTGGACCTCAGGAACGACCCGGAATCCGATCGTAGGGTTCAGTGAGCGTGTCGCCTGTTCGATGGTCTTTTCCGTCGGTGTCTCATATTTGCGGGAAATGACGGCAACATCAGAAACATGTGCGGCGAGAGAAAACGGCCGAGCTGGCAAGGATGCGGAATGAGAGCATCCATTGCTTCAGCGTGTAAACAGCTGCGAACCTCCGAACGAGTGCATTATCGGGATATGGTTCCGTGCAGTCGGTACATTTGTATGGCTTACGTGGTTCGTATTTCCGGCGAAAAGCCTTCGCCCGTCGCAGGAATCGAGTTTTCTCCACGGGTTCCGGCTCAGTATTTTGCTCTGCAACCTTTCGCGTTCGCGCGGACCCTCGATCGTCCGACGTGACGCGCAGGTCATCCCATACGCGAGTGCTGTTTCTGGCAGCATGGGAAACGACTGGTTTGGAGTCCTTCATTCGATTCCATTGTTACCCGATCGGGGGCTTTTTTCAAGTAGTAGGACCGACGGAAACCTGCCAGTTGATGAGAGCGATTCAATGGAGGCTTGTCTCCTGTTACGCTTGCGACCGATACAGTCAATGCGTAGCTCAGCTCGACCGCCCGCTCGTGCGCTTGGTCCGTCCGTCGGTCGGCCGTCCGGCTGCTGTGTCCTCGATCGGTCCTTCGGATACGACCGAGCAATAAATTCTGCAATTTGTGCCGAGCACCACTGTGCGTTGAATGGTTAATCCGCGCAATTCCCGTTTGCTCGAGGCAGGCGCAGTCACGTCGCTTTTTTTCCTATACGAACTCTGCGGCTGTCGTTCACCTGCAGCATGCTGGCCAGACTAGTTTTCCATCTAACCGAATCCACCAAATCCTTTGCCCTGTGTGAATCAGGTGCATTTCCAGGTGCCGGCGATCAACAACGCTGTGGATTACCGGGCGTTCATTGAGAACGAGGCGCTCAACCTAGAACTCAGCGGAGGAGGAGGCGGTCGACTCAGCTTGCCTCGGCATAGCGTCAAGTCTCCGTTCGACAACATACCGTGAGTTGCGTAGATTCGGCGGCGAGGTGTTACATTGTAGAGGTCCACGGTGCTCGAATCACTAAAAAAGGAGCAAAGCAGACGGAGGGAATAATTGGTGATGTAAAACCGAGCGGACTCGGGTCACTTCCTCGGGTCAGCCTCCGGCCTTGGCTGACGAGGTTAGCCGTAAAGCCCCAAGAATGTCTGGCCCCGGAGGTCTTTGAAGACATTTACTTAATGGAGCTCCGTGGTCTCTTGTGCGCTCCTCTCCGGCTTAGACGTCGTTGCCGCGGGCTCGGGGGACCGATGAACGGAGCGGAGAATCGCCTCGCGTCGAAGGGCTAGTCTTTTGTAGGCTATCAGGGTGGGTACTTCCGACAAGCAAGGGCATGTCGTGTAAATAGTCTTTGATCCTACTCCGAGTTATCGAGGCTCTCTAACGGCGGAGGGGACGAACACTAGTGGTTAGTGGGCGCAATCTATAAGGGTTTCTTGGCAGGCCATACTCCTCAATGGCGGCATACATTGGCGAAATCCGATTCACTCCAAGGCCCTTTTCCATTGTCGTTTTTGCCGTGGACGTTGCTCTCTCCGTCCTTTCCCTTACCGTTGGCGGCAAACAATGCTCTCGGCGTCGTTCGAAATGCCGAAAGCGACGCGTCACTGCTACAATGTTCGAGATGCGCCTATCAGCGGACATCGAGAGATGATTGCAAACAGCGGACTACTGATCGAGAGACATCGATGTGTGACAGACGACATCGTGAACTTCCGAAATTCGCTTCGACGCCCTCCGACGTATGACTGCGTCTATTGATGGGACCATCCGCGAAGCGCTCCGTTTTGGTCGCGGATGCACCGACGAACGTTTTTCCGTACCGATAATAATGAGCGTATCCCGGAAAGAATACCAAGTTCCTCGCCTAATGGTTGAGTAGCGGGACCAGACCTTTGGGCCTTCTATATACCCTGGTATATTAATCTAATCCAGCGATACGTTCCCATCGATTTCGAGTCATCGTTCCGTTTCAAATCATCGACGGGATCCATGAGTCCTCGGAGAAGGGGACTATGACCTACGAAATATTAGAGGAAACCTACGGGTTCGGAACTGGTTTCTCTGATGATGCCGCCATGGCTGGTCATGATGGGGCCTGAGAGAATAACGTCGTTCACTTATCAATCCTCAAGTTCCGTCGATTGTGTTTCACCGGACGTATGGAGTCCTGGGAGAGTAGTTCACTTCCAACTCGATTTGGAATCACCGCAATCCCCCTCGAAGTGTAAGTGGAATCTCCGAGAGGCAATCCGCACTTCATCTGGATATCGAGCCCTGCAGGCGACCCGACACCTTATCGGCGGAGCACTCGCTTTCTCTGCACATTCGTTATACCACCCATTATCTGTTTCGGCTGGATCAGCCGCTGGAAAATCGAAAAGTGAAATGAGGCGGCTCGAGCTGCTCGAAGCCTCTGCATGGCTTCGATGGGAGCGATCGGAATCCATATGAGCAGCACGGGCAGCATTCCCGAGCCGCGGGAATTCCGCGGTGGAATCTCCGATTAGGGAGCACTCGCTTTTTGAAATAGGAGGTACCTCGAGCACTCTAGAACGATGTGTGTGTGAATTGAATACGTATATGCGATTGCCATTCCAGGGGGACCTTACCTAGGAACCGGCCTCAACCCGCCGCCCTGAGCGTGTTGCCGTCCTCCGTGATCTTTACAGTACAAAGCCAATCGAATGGATCTTCTCTGGACGCGAGTGTGGTAGATAACAACTCAAGTATCGACGCCATCCTCAATCAGCAGCTCTGAGCGGTCACCGCAACGACATGCTGACGAAATTCGGATGTGAGGGGAAGGCACAAGGCGCGCGGCACCGACACGAATAAAAAATCAATTCATTCAGTGATTTAGCATCAGCAATCATTGAATGAGGGAAATTTTCTCCGAATTTTGCGCCCAACACCTCTTGGCTTCGATAAGCCGTGTTCAATTTGTACAGCGTGTAAATATCAACGACAGAGACGAAATTGAATAAAGTTCAGATAGCTGTTTATCAAACGTGTCTCGCCTTCTGTCAGACAGGATCCCCATAAGATCAATGAGCTCATAAGTCCTCCGATTACTGCGAAAATGGAGGGAAAAAGTCTGTGGGGAGGGCTAGCGAAGACCAGACAGGGCTCCGGATGAAGTACTCAGGATAGGTTTCGCCCGAGGAAAGGCTCCAGGGGGTACCTTTCCTGATGGCCAACCCACCCCAGGGAGTCGGACAGACATTTCAGCTTTTTCAACATTCATGCCAGGACCTTCGTTGCCTGTCGCAGCGACGCGCGGAAGCGGGACCAACTATGAGGCGAACTCGGCCTGCATCGGAAGACCTTCCGGGACAGCTCCTGTCATCTCTCGATCGTGGAGTTGAATCTGCTCCCCTCATGCAGGGGGATCGGGGCGGATCACCAATCATCTATCCGAGTCACCCTCCGGTGAACGACACCTCCGAGCAGAAATTTTTCAGCCCGCGCCAAGCGCGTATTCCTCGTGCAGCTTCACGTTCAGTAGTGTCGACCCCGTACACTTACAATCGTGGTGCTGCTGAGATCCCTCAGGGTGCGCAGCCAGACTCCAGGAACCGCGAGAGATCCGAAGGTTTTTGCCCGTGATTGGGGGAAATGCAACGTCGTCGAGAGCTCAGACGTCGAGATGTGACACGTCTATGGAAACTGAGCCTGAGACTCTCCTGAGTTGGTTAGGGAACTAATTCATGAGAGTTTCACAATCAGTGGGGAAACGAGTCGAAAATTCCTGTTTTTTCCGGTCCAAGGATTCTCGGGCTCGAGACCTAGAGATGACTCTGGGGAGTTTCCGCTCCGCCCACCTGAATCATCCGTGGGCTACGAGCAGAAAAGATCTAAACAACAAACACGGAGCCCTACTCTCTGGAAACAGCGAGACCCGGCACGGGAGTTGGTTCTGTGGAGCTGTGCAGTCGAAGCCGCCTGTCTAGACGGAAAGTTCTGGCGGAACGTTCGACTACAGGGCACGCAGAACTAAATAAGAGGAATACTGAAAAATGGCTCTCCAGAGACCGCACGTTGGGAGATAGCTGGTCGGGCGAGAGTCGGTCGAGAGGACAGATAGTAGGAAGGAGAGGAAACGAACGGCACTTCAGAGCCGATCCGAATCAAACCTAATAGAAGAAAATGAGCTATTCTCCCACAGCAAGAATCAGAAAATCCTTCCGTGGAGCTCTCGAGCTCTTTTATGCGCACGTGCCTCCATCCATTGTTGCGGATCTCCGATTCCTCAATGAATTCCACAGGAATACTCTATCTCGTCTGAGTGGATTCCCAGCTACCGGATTCGAGAAATCTCTGTGCGCGATTTTTCCTCCAAGATCTAGTAGGACATAAATGTGACGTTGGCTCTGCGAGCATTTTGCTGATGAGTGCTCGACACTTCCCCGGCAAGGTCTATAATTTTATTGCATGATACTGTGTATGAGCATGAGGCAGAATTGCCCTACGTCAATTTCGAATGGACCATTCGTCTCCGCAGAAGCGCCGCTGCGTGACGAGCGGCTCCGAAGCGGAGTTCTGACGGCGTGAAACACGACTCCGCAAATTAGCCGAACCCGCTTTGGTCCAGGGGACCTTTACGCACTGCCGCCGGAGTCGCTCCGAGCTCAGAGTTTTTCATGGTCCCCGTCTCCGATCGAAATAGACTGAACTTCGGTCGCCATATCTCTGATTATGTCGCATTCTGTGTCCGGTTCCGCCAACACCCGGACTTTACTTCTCCGGCCGCGAAAGCTCCGACCTGGGCTCCGTCCGACCGGATGTCCCTGAGGACCTCCACCAGCCCTTGCTGGAGCTCTCTGTATTCCCTCCGCTGGCGATAAGCAGCTGCTGTCGGGAGAGCGGACAGATATGCTCGAAGATTCTCAGACAGACGAGCAGACCGTTTCGGTTGGACGTGTTCGGGACCTTATTGGGATTCCTTCTCCGAGCTGGCTAGGAGTCGACACGGATGTCATCGCGCGGGCGGTGCGCACGAGCGGCATTCCCTCACCGTGAGCGGTCACGCCCATAGTCTTGGAGTCTCGGTTCTCGAATCCTTGAGTGCATGTCGTGATGGAGGTACATTCAAAGTCGAATCGTCATGCTTCCTCCCATTCTCCCTATCGGATATTCAAGGTCACGATTTGTAGCTCCGCTCGACTGCGAATTGCCGATGAAGTCGATCCCGGCGAAGTTGTCGTCATCGGATCGCATATGTTCGGCAACTGCTGGTCTGTCGCTAATAATTATTCAATATCCTCGAAGTTTCAGTCTTTCAAGGAGATTTTTATACGGGCTGAAACCATTGGTAACTTTCCTCGGTCGAGAATCGGGTTCTCCTATCGAATACTCCTCAGTGATTGTACTTGCTCCATTCCCTTCGGTATGAAAGAATTCGGAGACAAATCTCTGCGCAAGTTCTTTCCAACCCTTCCGGCATCCCGGGAACCGATCCTATGAGCGACGGAGCGACATTCGGGTGACCGAATCTCCATCGATGCGAGAGCTGGAGGCGAAACTCTGACTTCTCACGGTAGCTCCGTCCTCTCTTCGTAATTATCGACGCAGGGTTGACGCCACTCCTCTCCCCTTTGCGTGATCGTGCATCGGATCGATTGACGTGGTCTACGGGAACCTATATCTGGCCATTCGTCATAGAGGGAATCGAAGCCTAGCGGGCGTCCATCCTTTCATCGAGCTGGTTAGTAGTGAACGGGCGTCGAGGATGTGCCGGCGGACGCCGCCGCCGTGCGGAGCGTGATCTGAATTCTTCCAAAACTCCGGGGAATTCTTCACTTCACAGCTCTCGTCGGTCTGCCACGGGTCGACGTTCGTTAGGCCGCACGGTTCCGCAAGTAGAACACATGTCTCGATGGAACATCAGAACCGACAGGAAAACAGCCGCCCGCCGAGCTTCTTATGAATTGGATTATTCGGCAAAACATCTCGGCCAACATCGACCACCTCCACGTCCACCGACGCGAGAATCGGACCGAAAGAGCCGCCAGGCGATGGATCTAGGCCTAACACTTGCACGCTGACCCATTTTTGTCGCTGTTGACAAACGGAGCTCACAAGACTAAGTGTACGAAGAACCGGAGAGGAAATGTACTAAAAGCCCCAAGACGGGCCCGGGCAGACGTCGTCCGATGTAAAAACTTGCGCTCATTCTTATCTCGCACGATTCTCCGCGTTGATGCACTCGACTCATTGAGAACAGAAGTCTCCGTACCGGGAGGATGGGAGAGGGAAAGTCACCGAAAGTGATGTCTATACGCTATACGCGCATGGCCCGCTCCAGAGCACGGCCTCGAGGCTTCAGAACAGAGTTCGACGGCGATCACTTGTCGTTATTATTTTTTCCGCTTTCCCTCAGCGCAGGATATTGGCTCGCGCCGCTCGGAGCAACCGGTACGCGGACGAGTTCTTTGCGCGAACGAACGAACGCGTTGACACTTGACGCTACAGTGACTACGCGATCGCTCGAGTCGATGCAGCTTTGCCCTCGATGTCGTGGGGATTTCTGTTTTACACGGCGACGCAGCGAGCAGACAGCGCGAGCAATCAGAGCGAGCGGCGCGGCGGCGATATCCGACTCTCAGCACCTAAACTCTGTTGAGGCTTCGTGAAGTTCGTCAGAATTTCGAAAGAGTTAACACACGAGCCGCTCCGACGAAGCGGATGGTCAATGTGCCTGAGATCCGTGAAGGCTTCGCCGGCGGCAAGAGGTACATGTGGGAGTTACCTTCTGACATAGAAATTTCCGATGATGGAGGTCAGTCGGAGGATTTGGCTGTTCCCCTCCGCTGCTGGTCGATCCCGAGACTTCGACTTCAAACCAAAGAAGAGACAGATCCAAAGTCTCCGGAGCAGCAAGCAGGAGGTATCCCATTTTCCGGAATCGCAGGCGTGTCCAAGGCTCGGCCTCACCGACGAGCTTATCGGAGTAACCCGGTTCCGATCACTTTCTGCGTCAACAGCCTTCGAAGCTGCTCTGTCAAGGTCCATTGCTCCTTCCTGATTGGGTGAAGCGTTTGCTTTTGGGTTAGGTATAATTCGTCCCTAGCGTCCAAGGCATCCCTTAAACATTCTAACGACCATTGAGCCAACGACCGTCTGTGAGAGCCGGCTCTTATAATTGCCGTTGGCTGTACATACGCAGCACACGATGTGCGGAACGACGACCAATGGCAAAAGGGAGCTCCAGCAGCACTGCATGAGAGGAAGAATCCAATGTCTGTGGCTCTGGTTTTGCATGATAGAATGTGTCTAGAAGAGTAGATAGAGGACGGTGAATATTCTGCTGTGTTCACCGAAGTTTCGCTTCTGCCATCAGAGGTCCTCTCTGCGTCAAGTCCCCAGTATCCGATAATGGCGGAACGCAATAATTCTGGATCAGGTTTTTGTAGCCCGGCATTAGAGTTCATCGCTTGACAGACAGAGAAACTATCGCCTCCGGCCCTCATTCTGGGCTCTGCTCACACGGAACTCGTTCCATTAGCTCGAAGTAAACATTCATCTGACTCTCCTGTTGTCCCTCGAGCCCTGGCCCCGAGAAAGGAGATTTCACGGAAGATTTTGCTTTTCCTCCCCGTTGCCCGAATTACAGATATGGTGAACTCGGTGAACGAAGTCAATGATGGAGCCGATGCTGTCGTCGTTCGAAACGAAACGTAGCAGAACAGGACTCACCGAAGAAGGACACGGCGGAACGAACGGAGAGGGTATCCTTCCGGACTTACTGCGTTTCAGCAG